CTTAATTTTCTTTGAATATAATTCAAAACTCTCAGATTGACCTATTAAGCGCCATAGAAACATTATCAGTTCAAGACTAAGCTGCCGAGATGCTGCCACCAAAAATTTGCGTGCCTGTGTCATGACCGAACAGCAGTACCCAATGCTGGCAATAGCAGTGAGTCCCAAAATACAAGAATCATGTCAATAAAAACAATAGTAGAGAAATTAGCTCTAAAGATTGTTGGCACTAGTAGGTAAAATCATATTCTGAGTCGTGTCCAAGGACACTGTCCTTAAAAGCTATTCTGTTATATCAGGTTGATCGTGTGGTAGCTCCTCAGGATTAAATAGACACGTCTTGCAAAATAAACAGGGACACAGAACAACAAAGATTAGTAGAATAATACTCAGGCAGCACAACATAGTATAAAGGTGGATGAAAGAATTGGCTCAAAAACTCAAGAGCCTAGCACTAGACTTACAATACTCCTTGGTATTTATAGACAAGATTAGAAAATCTTTGGATAGCTTGAAAGCATGATTTAATTGCTAGTTTCATGAAGAATATGGCTCATTACACCAATTCATTTCTAAACGTTGCATTTGAAGACTAATAAAGAAATCACACTACTAAAAAAATGGAATTTAGCAAGAGACTCGTCCCTCACTAAATGTTATTTTTCATAGCTAAATTGCATTTTAGCTAGAAATTTTGTCCCTCACTAAATTTGTAGTTAAAAAAAGGCTTGCTAAATTTAGCGAGGAATTGTATTTTCCTCGCTAATCAGTGAGGGATTTAGCGAGAGATTCAATCTCTCATGAAAATTAACTAGGGACTAAATTCCTCGCTAATCTCTCTCTAATACTATTCAAAATTTGATAACTTTAGCAAGGAATTAGTCCCTCACTAATCTCTTGCTAAATATGCTTATATTTAAAAATAACTATACCACATCACCCGCCATGTGTGATGTCAACTTGTGACATGTCATTAACAACCTCATGCTTTGTCAACCACCATGTCACCTACTATCTCACGACCTATAGCGACAACTCATGACACGTCATTATCCACCTTGCACCATGTTACTTGCTTCTTACTATATCATATATTCATCATGTTTATGCCAAAGTCAAGGTTTGAACCCTTGACCTCATACCTTTCAAGCTTTATGCTCTCCTTTTTTGCCAATTGAACTGAAATGCGCTTGCAATCATTATATGAAAAATTAAATATGTATTTATATTATTTAACTGCATAAATATATCAAATTATATATTATAAAAATACACACATATACATATTAAATTTTATTTTCAATTATTAATATGTTAAAAATATTTCTATTTTATTTAAATTATTCTTTATATTATTTTTTAATAAAATATTATTTTATTAATGAAAATTAACTTAAAATAAAGAAAATATTAAATAATTTTATTACGAATATTTTAGTTAATTTTTAAATTTAATTATTATTTTTAAATGAAAATAATTAAATGTATAATTAAAAATCATTGTTAAAAGTTAATTTTTTTTGTAGTAATTAGCTAAGGATAGAATCCCTCGCTAATTGTCTTATTTTAGAGAGGGATTGGCAATCCTTCACTGTTTTTCTCGCTAATTTTCTTATTTTAGATAGGGATTGACCATCCGTCGCTATTTTTCTTGCTAATTCTCTTATTTTAGAGAAGGATTGACAATTTTCGTTAATTTCCTCTCTAATTTTAAATCAAGCTATGAAATAAACATCCCTCGTTAATTTCCTCGCTAGTTTGGTATTTTAGAGAGAAATAGATGATCCATCGCTAAATTTTCTCGCTAATTTTCATTTTTCTAATAGTGTCAATTTTCAGTTTTTATAGCCTTAAATACTGTTTAATGTTATTAATAAAAACATTTATTCCTTTTGAAATATCATTATATATTTTTTAAAATATCCAACACTAAACACACAAGATGACTGATATATATATATATATATGTGTGTGTGTGTGTGTGTTTATAATATCACAAGAATGAAGCATAGTCATTATCTGCATTCTATCTCACATTTCCACTGAGATGAAGCATATATCTTTCATCATATTTGTTTTTACTTATTGTAAATTAGAGTGGGAATCTGAATTGACCTCTTGGGTTGGATCCATTTAACCCCAAAAAGAGCTAAGTTGCAGAAAATGCAATGTTTTTTGAGATGGACCAATTTAGGTTTAGCTTGCATTATAATTTATTTATTAAAGTAAGAGGGTTGCTCCATTTTCTTTATTTTTTATATAATTTATTATCCATATAGGATTTAAATATAAATAAATATAATAAAAATATAAAATAAAATTTTATTTCTTATATATATAAATAATTACCAATATAAAGGAAAAAAGTATATATATATATATATATATATATCAAGTTTTCAGATACTTTCAGAGTTCCCCTAAGCACAAGGGTTTATCCTCGGAGAATTATGGGACATGGCCTCAAAATTAGAGGGTCCGGGGTACTAAAGTGATGTCAATATTAAACAATAAGTGTATTAAATCATGTCATTGGACGTGTAAGGGGGAAAAATCAATATTCAATATTTCACAAAATTGGAGAACACACACACACACACACACACACACACACACACAGTTCCATGCTAAGTTGGGTCTCGAAAGATTGGACATTTTCTAACCAAATCCGACTCGTAGGCCACCCTACAAAATTGTAAGTGGATTGGCCCAACCCAATAAAACATTCATACTTTTGGATTTGGTAGAATCTTAACAGTTGGCAAGTAATGCATGTATATCCACTCAGTCTATGGCTGGCAAGTAAATAAAACATTCATACTTATTCTATGGTTTTGTTGGCATGTCAATGCATGTATATCCACTTATCGTTTCGGCCGAAATAATAAATTTTCCATAATAGAATCTTAATTAACTTTGTATTAGTGTTACTATTATATGAGGATAATTCTCATGGTCTTCCACATTTGTTGATCATTAGAGATATTTATAATTATAATTTTATGGCATATTAGCACATAACCAAATGCGGGTGTGTTACTTGCATTGGGCTCCTTTTCCAATGCTTAGGTTTGGCTTGATTCAAATTTTTTTTATTAAGGTCAGCTAGGGAAAAAGTATTTAATATGAATTACAAAGTGACTCCTGAATAGTTTCTCAAATAAATCTATATAAAATTATATTTTACTTGTAATAAAGTAATTTTTTCATGTATTTTCTTATAATTTTGTTAAAACAAAATTAGTAGGATATGGTTCCATCATACTAAATACGCCAATATGATTGACGGAATATGTAGTTTGCAATTGCTATAAATTTGATATGTTATATTAATATTGATAAAACAATTAGAACAAGTTTTACAGAACAAAAACATCTTTTTCACATAAAAAATGGAGGCCATACTGGAAAGAAAAATCCATTGGTCCTGTGAAATTTTAGAAATTCACACATCTACCTAGCTAGGAAAAGAAAAGGGAAGGCTTTATGTTTGTCTAACCTAGAATAATTAACAGTATACATGTTGACAGGTGGGACCAAAGAAGACCATCCCAACCCTGTAACACCAAAAACCTAGCAACAGCACACAGCGTACAAACCATTGACGATTCAACAGGAAGATTGATCAGAAACATAAATCGTTTAAAGGAATAAAGCCAGAAAAAGAAAAAAGAAGAAAAAAAGAGAAGCAAAGAGTTTGCTGGCAGAATATGAGTGGAAGGAAAGCTTACCCTCACCCATAAGAGGACTCCTAACAACTCCTTTATTCTTGTCTTTTATGTGAATTATGACACCATTCCACATGGTTTCCTGCTAAATTATAAACGACCTGCTATAATAGACACGCTTCCTAGTACGTGATCTTGAAGGCTAATCTCCATTAAAGACAATCTTCCACCTCATGCCCAAGTGTTAATGAAAATGACCCATTGTGGGCTACATGTTTAGCTATGATGATTATATCAAGGTCACAGACAACCTCTTGAAAGTCAGTCTTCTTGATTCTTGAACTAATCCAAGGTATCCCGTGCTTTCTGTTTCTCTTACTCATGACCTGAGTTTAACAAAGTAGTCAGAATAGCCCATTGGAATTGCTATATTATCTTCTTCAGTGGTTTGTCCAGGCTAATATGTATCTCAATGAATCTATCTCTTTGGTTTAGCCATTAAAAGATAATGCCTGTTGAGAAAATTTTGGATTGAAGGCAGATGAAAAGGAAAGTGAATGAAAGGTCTCGATAAATCTAAAGTAAGACAAACATTTCATTGAACTCCATTCCCTTTCAATTTTCTTCCCCTTTATTTTCTTTAATCAAATTATATCTCAAGATTACTTCTTGCCAGGCTTCAAGATTAAGTTTTTCATGCACCAACATATAAGAAATTTCATATTAGAGTGAATCAATGATGTAGTCTTCAAAGGTTTACTGTTAAGTTGGTGATCCAAAAATAAAGCTTTTCAAGATAGTTATGGAAAGATCAATTCGCTCTCCATTTATTCTTCTGATATTTTAGAACAATCAAAACAGCCATTAAAAAAAAAAAAGGCACATGAAATTCTATCTTTACTTAAATGCAGAGGTAATTTTGATTTGGGAATACTAGTTTGGGCACCAAATTGAGAAGCATAGCTTTTGAGAGATCAAATGGAGAAAATAATAATCATTTCAATCTTCCATTAGGAGTCTAATTTTTGGAGAACTAAATGAAGAAAAAAATAAAATCTTTTACAAAGTAAACTATTCATTTTACTCAACAAAAGATGATTCAAAATAGTGGCAGTATTACTTTGTGGACCAGAAAGAGGTCCCACTATGACTTTGTGGGCCTAGAAAAGTGGTCCCCGCTGCTGGCAAAAATCTTTTAATCAGTACACACTAGAAAGTAGGAAAAGTAGTTAAGGAGTCACAGGAATTGGGGCGGGTGTCTCTTTTAAAAACTTAGCTGAAAAAAAAAAAAAAAAACTAGTAAGAAACATGCCTTCCTATTTAACAGCCTAGCCTTCCCACTTACTGCAGCAACAAAAATCTCTCTTATTCTTGTACCACTTTCTTCCAGACAACCATAACTTTAGTTCTCTTCATTTCAAACCATAAGCCTATATCAAGTCAGCAAATTCCAATCCAAAAACACAAGAGAATCATATCTTACCAATACCAGCAGATAATGAAGTGGGGTAGAAGAAAATCCTCTTCAGTTTCTTCTTCATCCAAACCATCCTTTATCTCTCATATATCTCCCCTTTCATGGCTGTCGAAGTTCAAGAAGATGAGAATCAGCACAGAGCCAGTTCCTGGCAAATTGAAACAAAAGGGTGTACGGAATTCTTCATCGGTTCCTTCACTGCAGTATACTTGTGGTAACGGTGATAGGTTTTATGGTGGGGATGATGAAGCGTTTTGGAGACTTTCGTTTGGCGAGGAGAGTCATGAAGACAAGAAAAGTAAAGATACTGTGAAATCAGTAATGCACATTATGGATAAAGATGGCAGATGGAATGCTGAGAAACAGGAAAGAAGGAGAGAAGGGACTTCAACATTCAAGGAGGATCACAGAAAGTTAGACGTTGAAAGTCATTTGCCAAATGATACGAAGTTTTCACCAGAGATAAATGAGCACAATCGAGAAAAGGAATTCGAAAACTTGAGGAGGAGATTTGGGAGGAAAACTCGGAGAGTTTTGCAACAGCAAGTCTTAAAATTAGAAAGAGAAGCAGAGAATGCATCAGATTTATCAGAAGAGAAAGAGATGCCACGGCTTGCATCACCTGGAACAATTTGGACACCAAGAAGACAATCTTTTGCCCATTCAGAAGATTCTAAGAAGTCAAGCAATGCACGAACGAAAGATCATGCATTTAATACTCAGAACCTTCAGAAGCATAAGAGGCAGAATTTGCATCAACCTGAGGAGTTGAAGGCAAAGACTGACAAGAAGAGTCAAGCATTTCATGAAAGCAGAGAAGTCCACAGGAGGAAATCAAAGTACAGCTCTAAGGTTAAAGTATTTTCTCCAAGGACGAGCTCCAATGTTGAAATCTGTAGAATAAAGGCTATAGAAGACATGAGAAAAGCCAAACTAAAGATGAAGAAGGAAAGGGAGAAAATCAGGGAGGAAACACAAGACTTAGATAGCTTTGCTGTGGTAAAGTTTTCTTTGGACCCACAACAGGACTTCAGAGAATCAATGGTTGAGATGATCAGAGAGAAGCAGATCAGCCAACCAGAAGACATGGAAGAGCTTTTAGCATGTTATCTGACTTTGAATTCTGATGAATATCATGATCTCATCATCAAGGTATTCCGGCAGGTATGGTTTGGCATGCACTTAGATAGAAAGGGAATTAAGTTAAACAAGCAGTGCTGCTATGACTAGAACTTCTTTCTACTTGATAGAAAACTTGAGCAGAAATTCAAGTAGTTAATCTGCAAACTTTTGCTTGTTCCAGTATTGTTTTACTTTAGTTAAAAGTCCTTCCTTCAAATTTTTTTTCATGAAATTCAAGTTAAGTTGCTTTTAGATTTCATTTAAGTTCATGCTGCAAGCCACTACCGACAAGAGTTATTTGCAAAGCCGCTAAATGTAATCTAGCAGTAGTCAGTCTGAGTAGTTATCCAGAGAGTGTAGGTTCTAATATCCACTCGGTTACACATACATACATTACACATATGCAGTTCATAGTGCATGTACCCTAGAGTATATACAGTTGACGCTGGGATACTTGTGGAAATATTTTAGGCATTAGCTTTGAGATCGGCTACCTTTGGGGGGGGGGGGAATTTAATCCAAATCATAAAAGGTAATGATACAGTACGATTGATACATTGCAAAATCCACATCAATCTGATCGTAGTTAAATTTGTGCCTGCCTATGAGAGGATGTTAGATCTGACTCCTCTTATCCTTTTGACAAAGCCCAATTCGCCCCTATTCTGAACATCATTAATGAACTTCAATTCAAACAGCAAAGTCATCAACCATTTTGTAAATCATGTCAAGTGTCCATTAGTTTAGAGTTCCTCTACCAAGTTTCAAGCATCATATGGAACAATGAATTTAAGCAGTTACGTAGTGTTGTCAAGAAATTATATTGGCAGTGAGACCAATAAATGGCACAAAACAAGTGCTACGAAGGCCATATTATAGTATAGGCAACAAATTGGAGTGAATAGGGAATTGACGGGCGGCCCAATAGGACCAGTACACTATCCAATTAACAATGTCTATGCCTATTGCTTAACATAAGCCCTTAAGGATGCTAGAGACCCATTACCTAACACCTTTCAAGACTCGCATTTATACCACAGCTAGACAGTGCCAAATAAGTTGATGAACAGTTATAAGACTAAGACCTAAGCAGTTCCAAAAGTTAGCTATTATAAAGCGGGAAGCAAGTAAGTTCGCTTACCTTCCATGGATTCATAAATACGTGTCATAAACTTTAATCATGCTGCAAGCAGGATCGATTTCAAGTAACTTATTTTGCGTCACCCCTTGAACACCTACCTTCTCGTAGATGCATATACAAATTTGTGACTGTAACGTATAGCTTGCTTGATGACATTGAGCTTCTACAACACACACATTGGGTGACTGAACAGAGACATTAACACTAGCTTGATGGCTTCGCCTTATAGCTCCCAGAAACGAACTCTGCTAGATCCACAGCTCAGTATCTTTTGAAAGTTGTAAAGCTCCCATATATCAGAAGCAGAGCACGTCACGCTTCGTTACATAAAACCGCTTGTCTTCGTGAATCCTACCCCTTAGACCTTAGCCTCGTGTAGCTATCCAAAAACAAAGAGCATTGCTTTTGGGCATATGGTCGAAATTTAATCTAAAACAAACACTTCAAGGATAAATTTTTTTTTTTCCAAAATTTAATAGTTTAAAAATTTAGAAAAATCTGATGCTTTATGCATATGAAAAAAGTAAATAATATATTTTATTTAAAAAATTTATTATTTCACACACACATATATATATATTAGTGAAAAATTATTTTATTTTAGAATTTATTAGTATGAATATGATAAAATTCCAAATAATTTCTTTGCGTTCAATACCTCCCTTTTTAAGTTGGCCAAAATAATACCTACCTTTTTGTAATTTTAAAAATTAAATTTGTTACTTCATTATGACTCTCATAATTTTTAATTGTAGGTCCTCCATCCACTATTTTTATTTTGGGACACTGAGTTTCTCACCAATTTTGGTACCGAGGGCTTCACATTCTTTTTACCATATGGAAATTTAAAAAATAAAAAGAAAAATTATTCAGAGAATTAGTCTTCTACGGTTATTTATGTAATATTTTACTCTATACATTGATGAATATTAATATTGATTGTTGCTCGTTTGATATTGATTTTCAACAATGATTTATAATTATATGTTTCAGTCTTTCATGACAATAATGACATTTGTGTTGTGTGTGTTAGGCCAAAGAAATAATTAATATATTTAGTAAAAAATAATATATATATATATATATATATTATTGTCACACATGATATTCCGTTAAAGCAATAAAGTCCTTTTCTTTTGGTATTCAAAGTAATAAATTAGGTTTTTTTTTTAACAAAAAATAGTCAATTCCAATTGAACAGCTATACACCTAAAGTCAGTTAAGGGGGAAAAAACAGCTGTAGTTTGGGTTTTAAATTACTTTCATGCTGCTAAGAACTTACAGCGACATATAATTTCTATTTTCAAATATTCTAAAAGAAGCAAACATTTTTTTTTTCTTTGAGGAAAGAAGCAAACATAAAATTTGGCGAAGCCTAAATTATCAGACTTTTTCATTTTATGTTGTCTACTTGCTCGTCCTTTTGATATGGCAAATTAAACAGCTTCTTCGTGCATTTTTATGAAATTTAATAAATGAGTTGTGTTATCCATAACTTGGTGCGTACGCACACATAATAATTTATATACTGCTAGAATTTTATTAAAAATACACCCACACTCACACAAATATATATTAATAAATAATCACGCAGTGAAATATACATACTAGATTCCTATTGAAAAACTCAATTAATTTTGTAAGTAAAATAGAATGAAAAAATGAAATAAAAATAAATTTTAAAATAAAAATGATCTTTTTTATCTTTAAATAAAAGAAATAATAGAAAAAAAATTATATTATTAAATAATAATAAAAAATATAATACATATATCTTAATATATTCTCAATTCTTTAAAAAAAAAAAAAAGACCTTACTGGATAAGACTAAGAGTCCCAAATATGAGTGGGACAGATCTAATCTTTGACTTTGAGCAAAACTGAATTTGACTTTGACTGAAACGAAATATGGATTACAGCTCGGAACCAACTTCCTCGGATGCAATGTACCACTGAGAGAAGAAGAAAATTCAAACCCCAGGGTCCAGGGTGAGACTTTAATTCCAATTTATAAATATAGATAATAATTATGACATTTTAAATTATAAATGGTATCAAAAATATTATCTTAAACTACAGAACATTTGATTCAACTCGCAAGAAAATTGTATAAGCTTAATCAAAAGGTCTTGAATTTGAACTCCAAAAATATAACAGCGTAGATGATAAAACATTTGCTTCGAAAAGATCCCAAATGAACTTGATTTAGATTAATCTAGACACATCGTGAGGCATGCCCGAGACATCGGATGCCCCACGCCAAAAAGAAAACAATATGGCGAGTTTTGGCCAAGAGGCCATATGAGGAAATGTCACGTACCAATAACAGAGAAACTGATAAAGAGGAAATGAATACTATATAATTTTCAGAAAATCTTATATTCTAAGAGTCATTTTTACAGAGGATTAAACAAGAGCAACTGATGAGTGTGTGCAACATCTCAATCCCTTCCATGAATAACTGGAACTAGTCTCAGTTACATCCGCATTCTAACCATCATTTCAGATCAGATCCATCTCTTTCATAGTTTCAGCCGATGCAATGCTTTGATAAAATTATATCCCAACAGAACTGAGATATCTGCGAGGTCTGAACCTGTCGTCTTCATTCCACAGAGCAGCAGCATCAACGACAATACGCAACATTATTTCGCCAAGTGAGGTCAGCTTACATGCATCACACAATGTCATTGTGCTTCATCACTCACTTTCGCAAAGCATCGATGCTTCAAATTCATTGGACCCTACACAATGCAGATTCTTCAGTGTTTAAGGTGTGGCCTGTATCCAACTTTCCATCTCAACATATTCACCTTGTGTTTCCATCAAGGTGCAGAGGAACTCCAATCCACAAACAACCATCCGACATCAGTGCAAGTACAGTTCCCAAATGACAGAGATGGAAAGCTTTCAGTATCGGCTTTACATGACTGGCATTAAAGCTTGCAGTTTGCAACTCAAATTGTCCTCTCATCCAGAAGTGACAAGCCTAACCAGATTCTGACGCAGTACCCAATTTGCCACCAATTTTTATATTCAATCAAAGTCTAAAACCTGTTACAACACAAACACGTCAGATCAACCGCTCTTGTCAATCTATAAGAGCTAAAAATATATTCCATTCCCACTTCAGAAAAGACAGGTCCAAAAGAAGCATGGAATAAGACAAGGTCAGATTATCTCCAGGCATCTCTTACTGGAAAAAAAAAAAAAAAAACAACAATATACTGTAATGTGCATGCACGCATCAAAGATAGAACTTTGACAAAATAAGGAAAACAATCCAGTCAAGGTTCCAATAGGTGAAGAATTACAACAGAATGGCAACATGAATCGACCTTGAAGTTAATATGGAACTTTACACGCACAAACACGTTTGTCACCTTGACCATAATCTATCTTAATTTTCTTCACAAACTTAATCTGAAATTAAAACAAAATCAAATTGCTTAATCCACCAACCAGCAGTAAGATTTAGCAGCCTGACTACAATAAGATATTCTGTGCACAATATGCCAATGTAATCACATAGCATAGAAATATTCACGCCCAACTAACAATATTTCCCTTTGAAGTTGTCACTTCTCAATTATTAAACTTGAAACAATATAGTAACTCCCATAGGACTAAGTTATCATTAAAGAAAAGACTAGGTGATTTTATGATAACACAAAATAAAGAGGAAAAATAGGCATCATAACTATAAAGAGCATGCTGATCAAATCTCAAATCCGGAGCCTACATTTAAATCTTGCATGATTCAGATACATGATGAAAAATAGCTTCAATTATATCATATAATTGACATAAACCATAAAAAAGAAATGGGTCATAGGAAAACATGTCCATATATTGGTTGCACTTTCAGGTCTTCTAATACTGCACAGTGCATACTACTATATTGTGATCTTAGAGGTGATTCTTAGCTGTGTGGCAATAAAAAAAACTAAGGTCATGTTTGGTACATTAGAATTGGGTCCAAGAGAAATGGAATTGGAATTGGAATCATGTTTTCACTTGTTTGGTATGCATGAATCCAATTCCTTATGGATTCCAATTCAACCAAAATACCTAGAATTCAATTCCATCTTCATCATGATGGAATTGCCACAATTCCATGGAATTGTCATAAGTGCCCCACATACACACTCCATTATGATGGTTGAGTTTTTTATTTTTTTTATAAGGGCATTTTGGTCTTTTTCTATTTTAAATACATATATTTATTAATATTATATTCAGATTCCATCTTCATACCAAACATACATTTATAACTTAATTCTATTCTGATTCCAATTCCGATTCCAATTCCAATTCCGATTCCGATTCCATCAAAAACTCTTCCATCATACCAAACGAGGCCTAAAAGTTGTAAAGCTTCCATTCCTATCCTTATATTTTCTTGCCTAAACCTCTAGCATAAACGATATAGCATTTGATCTATTCTGTGATATGTCAGCGTTTCATCTGGTAAGATACGAAGTATGACATCTAACACACCTAAACACTCTGCTTTGTAGCCACATGGAACATACAAATCATGTTTATTCACTTAACAGGATGTGGATCTCGTGAATAGCATGGAATATGATGAATGAGCTGCACTATCCATGGCTTTTGAACATTGAATTTTATTACAGATTTTATATTTTATATGGGATGATATTTACTTATTAATAGTATGGCTCGTTAGGTTTTTTATATTTTATATTAATGTTGATGTCATTGTACATCAAATGCTGCATCTTCTATCAATCATTTTGCTGTCTATCCCATTATTGAAATGCAATGTTGCATGGTTGAAAGATTTTCATCACACAAACAATGCCTTCTGCAACTTCGTCCATTTTTAAAATAAGCAAAGGGGTGAAAAAAAAAAGGTCCCCTGCTCTGTTTCCCCTATGGGTCTCATCAAGTCATCCATGACCAATCAGGCGCCTGTTCTCAGGAAGACTGAATGGGAGCCTAAAATCTGAGTATCAAAGCCCTGCAATGTACTATTTAATGGTCTAGCAGATTTTGCATGCCATAAAATCCTATTTAGTCACAAGGTTTTTGCCATGATAGGTTATTAGTAATAGGATTTATATTTATTAATAAACAAGCCCAATTGTTTTAAGGACCTCCATCAAGTAAGGAACGCAAACACATCAGAACTTAACCATATGGCTGGATCGCAAACAAAGATCAAGCAGCATTCATGTTACATTGTTACTCTACCTCTCCATATATCAAGAGATTTACATAACTGGCTATTCTTTAGTTCAAAACATGACAATTAAGGATTAGCCTTGCTACATAGAAAAGATATTCGGGCTAAAACTTTAGTACAATCATACAGGATACAGCAAATCACGTAAATTTAAACCCCCAGTGCAATGAATTACAATATAGAAAAGATGCTTTTACGTAACTAGGATTTTTTATGTAGTCACCTACAATGAACTTGATTGCTGGGCAACTAAGTTGAACTTTTACAATGTTACATCTCGAAGTGATTTACTAATGTGATAGAAGGGAGACATATAAATATGAAAACTATTGAAGAAGAAAATAGAAGTGATATTTCACAACATCCTGTATTTTTCAATATCCTTGTTTCCTGCAACATCTCACCTGTTGTGATACAATTAATAATTAATATAAGATCAACAGTCTTTTCTATTCTTACAAATAAATCTTCCTCATGCATTCTTTCTCACTTGTCTTACTTACGGTTAATATTCATTACATATGCAGAAATGCTCTCGTTGTCCAAATTGAACTGTCACAATTAGGTCCTCTTCCTTCCTCCATAAGACTTTAGTAATTCTAGATCACAAATGCAAAAATCAAGCTTCAATTCTTGACAATTACATCACATCATCATCATCATCATCTTTAATATGATTCAAAAGTCACTCTCATTGCAGAAGGCATCAAAGGGCATTTGCCAATGATTTCTTTCCTATAGTAAGATATAAAAATGCCAATATCACAACGTCAAAAAAGTTTGGTCCTAGAACTTAGACTGGTTGCAAAACCACCCCCACCCCCATTCCAAAGGGGGGGAGGACAGAAAAGAAAAGGATAAAAGAAAACTCAGACTAATGAACAGTCTAAATCCATTAAAATAGAGAAAGAAACATTCAATTCGGTATATGAACATGTGAAATATTACTGTTGCAGAGACAAACAAATCATACCTAGAGTTTTTTGTTGGGCATCACAAGCTGGATGATAATCAACTGCAATTAAGTTTTCTCTACTTGACTAAGATGCCCAATCTGTTCTGGAAGATTATTTACACTCCGCACATTCCACCAAAATTTATTTAGTTCGCCAGATTTTCCTTCATTCTTTCGGGCATCGGAATCCTTCATTTCCATCTGCACCTCTTGTGTCTCTGATGAACCAGGATTCTCTGTCAAGAACTGTTCCCAGAAGACATCATTAACACCAGTGGCCACAGTGGTGGTTTCCACTACTTGTTCTTTTGATGCAACAGTCTCAGGAACAGCAGATGCAGCAGGCTCAGCATTCATGTCAATTCCAGATGACTTTGGTTGAATTTCAATATCTAGTTGCACACAGGATATGGAGGGACTATCAGGACAACTTGTTGACTCATCAAAGTCCAAGTTTGAAGAACTTTGAACAAAGCTATCACCAAAATCATCTGCAATGTTCTCCCAGAATAATACAGATGATTCCAGCAGATTCAATCTCTCCAGGTTTGATGTCAGTATGGAGATTTCTCTAGGTAACATTTGGGAAGTCTCCATAGGATCTTCAATGCTAGCCTCATCACAAAAGGACACGCCTCTTGGCAACCTTCGTTTTCTATCCGGGGATTCTGAAATTGACCAGAGATCTAAAGCAAACCCAGGTTTCTGCAACGCTTGAGAAAGTGAAGAAACCATCTTTTGTTGTTTCTGTTCCAACTTTTCCAAACGGCTGCTTGAGCAATGTATTTGTATCTCACATGTTTTCCATTCCTGTTCATGTCTCTGTAAATCAAAAGCAAGTACTTCTTTATCTTGTCTAAGCCTCCTTATTTCATCTTTCAAATTCTGCCTTTCAGATTCCGATAATGGCGAAGCTCCATGTCCCTGCTGATTCTGTATAGAATGACTATGAACTGGTTTTCGCCTATGGATACCCTTCAAAAGATGTGGTTGACCCCTTATAAAATCATCATTCGCAAATTCCCAACGTTCTGGGTCAATTTTTCTAAAACCCTGTTCAAAAAGGATAGAAAAAATGATCAAACACAGATTAAGCTATCAAAAGCAGGAAGGAAAAACAAAATGCAAAACAAACTGGCACAACTAGAACGTGTGAAGATTGGATCTTCTTACATAGGTGTTCAGCTGCCTGATGAAACTAGAGAAGTTATTATGCTTAAAGAATCTTGGCAGCAAATCTCTTGCAAATTCTGTTGGATCCCATACTACGAAACTTTTATTAGTGCTGCTCCAAGAAACTACCGAATCCGAGGAAGGATCCTCCACCATCTCATAAGTCTTCGCCAAGAAAGGAGGCAAGGAACCAGAACCAACCTGAGCTTCATCCATAGCAGAAACTCAAACCCAAATAAAATCCAAGAGTCAATTAATCACCACTTAAATTCCCAAATTGCGAAAAAATAGACAATCTTCAATCCCCAAATATATACTGGGCAATTTCAGATCAAAGGGGATTTGTCGAAATCGACCAAGGCAAAAACCTACAATGATCTCATTCTTCCTCACTAGAATCAGCCAATCTATAATTCATTACCAATAGCCAACAATTGCAAAACTCTATTTATCCTTCAGAAGTTTCTCGTTTCAGCAAGACCAATCATTCATGAAATCCAACAGCACGCGCTTCCCTTCTTCCCATTCAGATGCTCGAACACTTCATGAAGCAGCCTCTGTTGTCGCTGAAAGCAAAACCAAAAATATCATAGGAAGCAAAAGCCGAAAAGCTTTAAATCCCCCCCTCCTGTGTTACCTACACATACCCAAGTATAGAAATATTCATTCTGTCACCGTACACGCAAAAGGCCCAGAGGATTCTGGCAGTTTTGAACAGGATTGCGGTTTGAGTTTCGCAGAGTGGGAAGGAAAATTAATAAATTACCTCTTCTTAAAAGAAAATAATAAAAATGAAAGCTTGCAGGAAAAGAAACAATAATAGGCTAATAAAATTAAATTGCACTGAAAATAAAAATAATAAAAGGAGAAGTTTCATCAAAAAAATAAAAAAAAAAAAAAAAAAAAAAAGGAGAAGTGAAAGGGAAAGTACAGGGAAAGCGAGACGCGGAGATGCAGAGCAAAGGAGTCTCCCATTGAGGCACATCTCTATTTGACCACCGGAGAGAAGATTCACAGAAATTAATGGCGACTCAAAATCATCGCATTATCAATATCTGTTTTTTTTTTTCCCGGCCAAATCAATATCAATCAGTTTATTCAATGAAACTTTAGATCAATCTCTACAACTATTATTTTATTTGCAGAACTGGGTTGTGAGCCTTTTTAAATATTTTCTTCCTTCATGACCTGTCTGTTTTCTTAATTATTCTTATTTTTTAAAAACAAAAAAAAAAACCGCGCTTTTGCAATCTGCAGGATATTATTCTTGTGTCATTCAATATTACAATTTTTTTTATGATCAAAGGAAAATATTCATTCATTGCAATATTATCCGGTAGCATAATTATAGGTTTCCTTTAAATGTTTATCTAAAATGTAAAACACTTTGTAAACAGTATATAATATTAATTTTTTATTACAAATATACTTATTAATTGCATTGTAGGGAGAGATTATGTAAAAAATAAAGGTAATTAAGATAGATTAATTATAATTAGAGGGAAATCTTGAAAATAAATTACACTTTTTTTACAATTTTAATCATACAAATCACTTTTAACTACTTTTTTTATCTTTTATTTTTTATTTTTTTGAAATTGTTAAAAATGTCCTATACTTTGAATGCAATAAAGTAATTAATACTCCAACCAATCCCTTTTATAAGACCTTATTATCAACTTTAATGAAATAACCTTTTTGGTTGGTACTCCATGAAATGGGAAGGATAGTGAGAGGGACAAGTATTTTCGAAATAGGTCCGTAATGTTTTGTTAAATTTTGTGGAGGAACTTATGTTAATGATTAATGGATAAGCTCTTATAAACGGGATTAGAATGAATAATATTGAATATAGTATTAACTAATAGTGTTAGGATTTTAATTACTCATTTAATCCATAAGGTATTTTTAACATATTTTTATTAAAATTAAAAAAAAACCTTAAAATTTATTAACTTTGTCTAAAAATTTAATAATTTTTTAACTTTATTCCTATTAAATATACATAATTTAATAATATATTTTCTCTATCTAATATTCAATAAAGATCAAATGAAAAAATTTTGTGATGAAAATTTAATAATATGACTTATAAATAAGATAAAAAAATTCTTTCAATCTTAAAAATAAAACTAAAGGGATATTTAATAAAATTATTTAAAAATTCTATCTAATTCTAAAGAGATTGTATTTTACTTTTTATGTGATAGAAAAATAATTAAATAAAGTATTTAAAAAATAGATAAATTAAAAAATAGAGAAAAGTTTCCAATACCTGATTGGTCCATAAAGCACTTTATTTGGATGATAAAAGGAATATCACGTGATAGATGAGCGAAGCATGCCTTATTAATTTGTTATGAGATAGGTTTGTGAATTAGCATTAGCCAACAAAATTCCACCGCGTGCCATCTTATTTTCATTGGAGGAGCCGACGTTGGAGCTGAAGACTGAAGAGAGGCTGCCGCAAAATTCCACCTTGCGGGTCATCTTATTATTATTATTACTGTTATTGTTATATAAAAATTTATTATAACCAAAAAAAAAAAGTTGGTTAGTGGATAAACATTTGACACGTAACTCACATAGCCATAAAATCGAATCTTACTATGATGTAATAAATTTAACATATAGTCCCCTCATCTCATTTAATAAGATATTTTTTAAAAACTGAATGTCTAAAAATATAATATATTTTTAATCTTTTAAAAAATAATTATTATTTTTTAAAGTATTTTTATTAATGAATATAATTTTATATTTATTGTAAGATATTTAATAGAGGTAAATATAAAAAAATAAGGTTAATTTAAAAATAGGTAACTATTTTATTAGAGGTGAGATTCAATTAAAAATATTTTATATTTTTTAATAGAAAAAATGACTTATAAGATCATGTAATAAATTTTATTATCAATGTAAATATATTATTAATAAATAATATCTAAATATTTTTATAAACATTCTTTGAATATGAAAACAAACTTTGATTCTGATAATTCTACGAAATCCAGCTCAGAAGAAAAGGCTGGAAGACAACATGATTGTTCCAACACGCTGTTTGAAAAACTAATCAAAAACTCTGCCAAGTTTTGTTTATCAAGCCAATAATGACCGTTTCTTTATTATAAATTTTTTTTTTGTTTCATCCTTATGGTATAAGAATTTTCTACGTTTAAAAGTAAACTTGTCATTTATTTGTAATTGTACGGTTTTAATAGTCTGTCATGTCATTTCAAAACGAAAAAGACAAAATGATTTTGGAAATGATAAAATTTTTAATCTCTCAAATTCATCTTAATTATTAATTGAATTTTTTAAATTTAATTTTTTATTAATTTAATTTTTTATATTTTTTTAAATTATTATGTAAGTTTTTTAAATTTTAAAATACAATTTAACTTTTAAAATAATTTAATATATAAAATAGATTGATTATTTGACATGTATATATAGTTAAATGAGAATAAATCAATCCTCAAATGAGTTTAATTTTTACCAATATTATTCTTTGCAACGTGGTTTGTTCTCTTATTTTTTAAAATTTTAGAGTATGTTTTTTCTCTAATTAAATAATTACACTCATTTTAATTAATTTGCATGGCTTCCATCTGTATTCAATTATCCAAGTCAACAAATTTTAACAATGCAACCTCTTTTTTTAAAATAATAAGAATCAAATTAATAATCAAAATAAATTTAAGGGACTCAATTGATAGAAATTAAACTCGAGGGACCACATTAATAAGTGAGACAAACTTAAAAGACTAAAAGTTACATCATCCCATGATTTTGTATCTTTTTGAAATTAACATAATTCCTTATTAAAAGTGTGATGATAATTATAGTTCCAAGAAATTTGTTTAACATATTGATTTTTATGAAATGATAAATTTACTCCCAACTTAAAAATATGGAATAATAATTTCCGTTACACAAATTAGTAAAACCTAATAACAAGTTATAAGTACATTTCCATCATTTATTGGTGAAAAAATGGAGGAAAAATATTTATAATTTGTTGTTAGGTTTTAATCATCTGCATATAAAAAGGTTATTTTTTCTCTATTATCTTAAACTAGTATTTCACCCGTGCAATGCACGGGTCCTCTTATAAGAATTATAATAATTTTTAATTCAACTTTTATTACTACATGAGGTTATTTAAATGAAGTTATAATCAAAAATATATTTTAAAATAATTAAAAATATATGATGGTATTACAATAATAAAAAAATTGCAATATAAATGAATTCAGAATGTGATGAATCAAGATTCAAATTCCTATTGAGAGAAGTGACTATATTTAGTTTTCGACCATACTTAAAACTGGAATTACATCAGTACTCAATCAACACATATACACACGCATTTATTTAAATACAAATGTAGAAAACATTTTCTAAATATAATGGATATGAGTGTACTACAAAAGACATAGGCATGAAATCATAACATACACAAATGAAATACATCTAATATAATATGCAATATATCTAACATGAATGAATGTTCAACGATTCATTTAAACAATATGCATGTTTTAGCCATTAATACAATACACATAAGGACCACGATCGTTGTTTACTCGTTTATCAACTTTTCCGCCCATGGACGTGAATGCAAACATCATGTTGTATGCTTTAATATTATCAAGAAAATTCTTACTATCATCATCTATGGAGTGAAATAGCCTCTGTAGTTGCCAAGGAGCATGCTTTGGGTTAGGCAAGTCAACTTTCCCTTGAAGACAACATAATCCAAACTTTGGATGAAGGTTAGAACAATTTTTTTCAAGTCATTCATTTATCCACATAATAGCTCCACAGTGAACACATGGATATGCTTGGTCGCCTAAATCAATGGGAGCTGAAAAATTAAAGTAATAAAATAAATTATGTTTATGTTAAACTTTGATTGTATGGATGTTATCAAATGTTTATAGATTGTCTGTCAAAAAAAATAGACAATTAACATGCTCTAACATTATTTGTCACGTAATAATCAACTAACTTCTATTGTCACATGAAAGAAAATTTAATTGCAAAGTTTGTGTACTCAATGATCTATTAATATTAGTTCATTGCATAAAAATTAACTTGATGAGAATCCCATCTCATGAATAAACCTTCAAAATATATAGTATATTATTGAAAACATTTAACAAAATTAATGCGTACCAAATACCAATTATTAAACCTTGTACTCAAACACTTACAACTAACAGGGGGTTCAACTCCAAATTGTCTGTGGGTGTTGGATGTAGAGCATGTATGTTGAAGCACTGTAATTCATCCAGATACATTAGTAGGGATGAATGGATATATAACATTAAAATTTCATTCAAAATAAACATCTCGATCATATTTAACTAAGGCAATGTAACCCAATTGTTGAACCATCAAAAGTCAAATAAAGTACAATGCACATTTTAATTCTTTACAAATTTTCACATTATTGGAGCAGGAAATGTTATGCAATGTGAATTTTCTACAGTTTCGAGGTTAATTATAAATAACATCTTATTATAAGAAACCTACCATTAGTGACATTGTATAAGGGAACTTTATGGGAGTGGCTACAAATGCTCGTCGGAGGTTTTTCCTTGTTGATTGGTTGCACTGAATCTTACATCAAAGAAGATGAAGAGGAAGAAGTATAAATACAAATGTGCAAGATATTCACATTTCAAATAAATTAGTTGAAAGCATATGACGGAGCAAGGATATAATACAAAAGGATTTGACAGGAAGTTTTAAGCCAAAGGCCTCACTTGTTATGTCATTCCTAGCAATAAATGTCCTCGTTGTTTGCTTTCTTTTTCTTTTAAGATAGAAACCTATTGTTGTCTC